GAACTCTATTTTTGACTAGTCCTCTCTCAAGGCACTAATCACTTTGTTAATTACCAAATTCAGGAACTAATTCTCATTAGTGAAATTAGCAATCACAAGCATTATAAACAAGTTCTATTAATTAATTAATCAAATTAGACATCCATTCTCATAGGCTAATCATGAAAAACTCTTGCTTAGTTCTTTGGCAAATTTCATCAAACACCTTGTGTTCTTGAAATTCCCTAAGACCTTTGATAAACTTTTTCTAGCCTAATCAAGCATTAAGAACACTAAACAAGAAAGGAAACTATGGATTAAGACCTATACATCAAAGATTTAACATCAAAATCCCTTAATCTACCATGCCCAAAAACTATATAGAACTCTACTCACTAATCATGCTTAACACACCTAATCTTTTGCAAGAGGTGATGTTAAACATGATTAATAAGATAGAAACGATGAAAAGAATGATACGAAACAGCCTTCATTAATTAAAAACGAGGTATCTCTTCCAATTTTTTTTTAAAAAAGGCAAAGAAAACCAAAGAGAGAATGAAAGATATTTAGGGTTTTTCCCAAAAAACTCTTTATACTAAGGGTTTTGGGCCGGGTAAGCCTAGGACAAACTGGATACTGACCCGGTTCAGTTGGTTCTTGTGCCTGAGTGCGAGATGGTCATGTCCCTGGCCAAGTCGCACACCCAAGTCGGTCTCATTTGCGAGCACATGTGCTAGATGGTTCCATTTCATGTCCAACTCGCACACCCAAGTCGCACAGCTTTGTGGACTTAGCCATATTTGATTCTGGAAGTCTATACCCTACTCAGAGTCTCCTTACATGCATCTCTAAGGTCGCAGCTTGCTTCCAAAGTATGAACATTCATGGGTGCGAGTTAACCAAATCGCACACCCAAGTCGCAGCATTTCTCATTTTCTCGGACCACTTCGCGTTTGAGGCAGCATAACTCCTGGAATACTGGTCCAAAATGACCTGATTCAAACTCCAGAGAGAAGGCAGCTCAATTACCTAGAACATTTCTGAAGAGTGCGAGTGCATCCGGGGAGAGGAAGAGTTCCCGGACGGCTGATCTTTGAAGTGCATTGCTGTGGTCCGAATTGGCTTCTAGACCTGTGCTTCTTCCGATTGTAATTCTCCCAGATCACAACTCTAACTCTCTTGATTCCAAGCGTTCTGGAAACTAGATCCACTTTTCACAAACTTTCATGAAGACCCCAGAAGCTAAATCATCCGGGAAGGCTTTCTGGTAACAGGGTCTTTGAGGCGTATCAGATTTCTCCGGAATGAATGCAAGACTAGTTCGTCTTCGGGTGGCTATATCTTTCAGCTCGTTGCTCTAAATGCATTTATTCTACCTGTTCTGGAACCTTGACTCAATTATCTTGATCTTTTTTGAAGACGCCGGAAGCTAAATCGGCCGGAAAGACCTTCCGGTAATGCGATCTTTGAAATGTATCGCAATGGAGATTTTTGGCCGAGACTTAAACAGGCGGTACGCGTTTTGGTCGAGAGATCCTGCCCGCAGTATGGATTTTAGCCGAGAAACATTGAACTGTGGTACAGTGATTTGCCTAGAAGCTCCAAATTGCCTTTTCTCACCATTTTTTATCATTTAAGCACCATTTCTTCATCTGGTTCACTTTCTCCACTCCAAATAAGCTCCAAAAGCACATGTTTAACACTCCAAACCATGCAAAGACTCACTTGGACCTAATGCAAACTCATAAGTCCTAAATTAATGCTTAAGAACCTAAAATTCATGAAACAAGACATAATTTGGACTTAAATATATACACTAAAATGATGCATTTTGTGGATATATATCAACTCCCCCACACTTATCATTTGCTTGTCATCAAGCAAAAATAACAAATGAGAGAGAGGTTGTGAGTTTGGGAGTTCATATTTCTTAAAGGGAGAGAGAGTAATCATCAAAAGAGTTCAACTCATGGTCCTAGTTACTAATTATAAATTGCAATGCAAACTGGTATACTCCTAAAAACTAGCCATGCTCATCACCAAGTAAACCAAACTCATGTGTCACCCTTCACAAGAATTCCTAACTCCAGCCCTTTGACATTCATTTAAGTATCATGTGGATCATGCTCATGCAAATCATGTGAACTCATTTGGCTTGGGACAGGGTTATGAGATTAAAATGATCTCATTTCATGCTTGTGGGTTCAATGCAGGTCAAGGGATCACTAAAGAAGAAATAAACTTTAACAGAAGGCTAAGGGTAAAAGGCAACTGATGCATACAAGAGTAGACTCCCATCTACCCAATGCCCCAAGTTGTTCTTTCACCTTAACTCTAAACCCATGAAGAACACACCTAAGCTACCCTTCTTTCAAGGCTTTCATTCCCACTTCTCACTTCACTCTCATTCTTTTCCTCACCAGGGGATTCATATTTTCATTCTCAAACTCAGGCTTTGGGGTCTAAACCTTTCACTTAGCTCTTTCTCACATAGCATTGTCTAGCCTCTTTTCTTTTTTTTCTTTAAACACTTGAGCCTTTTTGGCTTCTTTTCTTTTCTTTTCACTTAGAGGCTAGACTTTTCTTTTCAAAATACAAGAGCTTTCTTTCTTTAAACAACATACCCCAAACCGATTTATTTTCTTTTCCATCCCCTGGTTCTCATCTCAAACTCTCTCTTTACCACTCAGTGTTTCCCAAGATCCCTTCCTAGCCTACTCTAGACTCATGATGCAGACCTAGATCTACATGAAACTCTACTCTTGTCGCCTTAAACCCAACACTTTCTGTCAAGTTTATTCAGAACAAGGCCTCACATCTCTCACTAGAGTGTTTCAAGCTTCAAGGAAGGTTTGGTTTAACGTAGGGAACTGTCTCAAGATGAGAGAATAGCTATTTGAGCTAGCAAAGAGTGGCAAAAAGGGATAAGAGAGCTCAAATATTTTTTGGTATCCATGAGTTCACAATGATATGCACAAACATGATAATTGGATTGTTAGATTATGGTTTTCACTTAAGCAAGGCTGGAGCTAATCATAACTTGATACAACTTCACACAGAAGCATTGAGACACTAGTTCCAAGCATGGTTCATCCTTGATTTCATACCAGTTTTGCAGCAATAGAGAATTAATAACTAGCTAGGGGCATGAACCAAATTCTTAAGATGATGCTCTCTCAAAGAAACCTATAATTACTCCCATGCAAATGATGCATCCTATATGATTATGTAACTATACTCAATCTTAAAAATGTGAATGCAACTAAATAAACATTTTTTTGTGAAAATTTTTCCAAATTTTTGATTTTTAGTGATTTTATATGCATGTAGATGAATGCATGAATGTATGAGACTCAAGCCACTAAAAATCGAAAATAAGAGCACAATAAACAATGTCAGATGGCAGACACTCTCCCCCACACTTAAATCACACAGTCCCTGTGTGATAAAAGAATGAGAGAGAGAATAAAAATGCATGAATGAAAGGAAGAAAAAGAATGAAAAAGATGTACAAGTTGTGGAGTGTTACCTTTGAGGGACTTGGAGATGGAGATGGAGACTCAATCATCACCATAGACTAGCTGATACACGTCCTTGGTCTCTATCCAACGCGTCTCAACCCTAAGACCATCAAATAACCTTGCACACACTTAATAAAAATATCAAAAAGCTCCCAAAACATAGAATTAAAACTAGAAATCAAATAAAAAGAGTATATACAATGATAGACATGGGAATGTCTCCCAAGTTCACTCTGTTTTAAATCACTAAGTTTGACTTTCCATACCTTTTCCTTAGTGAGAGAGAGAGAGAGAGATAGTAGAGGAACTCCCTGGATTTTCTTTGAATTTAAGCCTCACAACTTTCCTCATGAGCTCCTCAATACCATCTTCACCTTTGTATGTCAGCTCTTGAGTGAGAACTGCTCTGACCTTTGCAAATGGCTTAGACCCTCCTCTACACTTGACCTTATACTCAATCACTCCATCTTGATGAGTCAATGGAATGAGAGTGATAGTGGAGGATTTGTCTAGCAAAGTTTCTTCCTCCTTGGTCTTGCTTGGTTTCTTCTTGGCAATGGTAGGAAAGTGAGCTTCTTTAGGCTTCTTTTTCTTAGACTTATGACTTTCACCTTTCTCTTGAACCACTTTGCAAGAAACTTCTTTCCTCATTTGTGTAGAAGATTGAAGTTTCAAGCAATCCTCATCATCACTAAAGAAGTTCTCACCATCAATGAACTCAAGATCAAGCTTTCTTTGGCGTTCTTTCTTTTTCTCACAAGCTCCAAGAGGCTGATCCTTCTCTTTCATTGCAAAAGTCCCCATATACTTAATCTCAAAGTGTTGAAACTGATCAAAGAGACTTAGAAGCACATAGGCTTGCGGCTCAATAGATTTTTCTTCTTTCTTGAGCTTCTGCTTGGCTTTCTCTTCAAAAACAATCTGAGCATTGTCTCTTGAAGCTCCATGGACGTCTTTTAAAGCAACAACTTCAGTTCCAAGGGTCACCTCCCCTCTGAGTTGCTCAATGTCCTCATTTTCTTGTGAAGTAAGACCTCTAAGAGCAATGTCTTCATGTGGACCATAGAGTACAAGTTATATCTCCTTTATATCAGCTCCATGATCTTTGATCTCCATGTGATTCAGTTGAGAGTTCAAGCTCTCTATATTGTTGTGGAGATCATTGTAAGAACTTTTCACTCTTCTAGTATCTCATCTTGTCCCTTGAGAAGTTTTTGGAACATGTTGTTCAACTCCATTTCTTGAGGCTTTGAAGCAGCTTGCCCTTGTGGAACAAACTCTTGCTGAAAACAAAGCTCCACCTAACCTTAACCATCTTTACAAGCTTCAATATCAAGCTCCTTGTATCTTTCATTACTCTTGGCCAAATTCTCAACAAGTATCTCTCCTTGTTCTATGGTAAGATTTGCAAAACGCCCATTGCTAGCTACATCCAATGTCCATTTATGCTCTATATCAACTCGCCAATAGAAGATACTAAGGATAGCTTCTTGTTTGAACCTATGATGAGGACACTCTCTAGTGTATCCTTTAAGTCTCTCCCATGCTTCATTAAAAGTCTCATGGGTTCCTTGATTGAAGCTCAAGAATTTTCCTAGCTTGGACAGTTCTTTGTATGGGGTAAAACCTTTGAATGAAGATCATCTTGCAATCATCCCAAGAATTGACCAAGTGAGATGGTAATGCTCTTTCCCATTTGCTTGCCTTTGCCCCAAGTGAAAATGGTAACAAGATGAGCTTGATACTGTTTTGGGGCCAGTCCTAAATGTGTCACACAACCTCTCAACGGAGTCCAAATGATCATATGGGTTCTCCATTCCTAACCCCAAGAACTTAGAGTCTTGAATCAATCTAACCAAGCTTTTTTTTATCTCATACGCCTCAGCTTCAATTGGAGGAGGGTGGATTCCATACCTCAATCCATGACAAAAAGGAGTGTCACAGCTTCCAACTGTTGGTTTTTTCTTTGGAGCTTGGGTTAGACTTGAAGCCAATTCTTGATGTAGTGGCAATTCTTGAGGTTTTAGAGCTTGGAGATTAATAATGCTCCCTTGATTAGCCACCTCTTGAGGCTGTGGATCTTCTTGAATACCATTTTGATGGTTCACCTCCAACACCTCTTTTGCTTTTGTCTTCTCACTTCTCTTCTTCTTGTTTCGGTACCTTTGAAAGCATAAGAGAACTAAGGAAAACAAGTTAGTAACAATGAATAATAATACGTTCATCATCTCAACCAGAGATGAGGAAACAAGGTAAAAATAAAAGCTTAGTCTCAAGTAGAATCTAAATCCTAATGGCTAATGCTAAATCCCCATGGTAACAGCGCCAAATTGATAAAGGAATTTTTTCTAAATCAATTCCTTAATATGCTCATGTCATTGCAATATTAAGGTATCAATCCAAAGGGATTAAGATTAACACACCGAATACAAGAAATTACTTTAGGTAAGCAAATCAGGGGTTTTGGTTTGATTAACTACTGAAAAAATGATTAAATAAGAAATTAAAAACTCAAACAGATTAACAATCAATAAAAAAAGCAAAAATAGAAGAGGTCAACAGAAATCAACTTAAAAGTCAACAAAAAAAAGTCAACAAAGTTAATGACGAAAACTCAAATATCAACCAATAAAAAGCAAGTCTTTGGGCAAGGTAATTGATTATAGGATGTTTAATGATAACCCATGATGTCTACAAACTCACCAAAGTGCTAATCCTTAAGTCTAGAGCTCTAATTTTGACTAGTCCTCTCTCAAGGAACTAATCACTTTGTTAATTACCAAATTCAGGAACTAATTCTCATTAGTGAAATTAGTAATCACAAGCATTACAAACAAGTTCTATTAACTAATTAATCACATTAGACATCCATTCTCATAGGCTAATCATGAAAAACTCTTGCTTAGTTCTTTGGAAAATTTCATCAAACACCTTGTGTTCTTGAAATTCCCTAAGACCTTTGATAAACTATTTCTAGCCTAATCAAGCATTAACACTAAACAAGAAAGGAAACTATGGATTAAGACCTATACATCAAATATTTAATATCAAAATCTCTTAATCTACCATGCCCAAAAACTATATAGAACTCTACTCACTAATCATTCTTAACACACCTAATCTTTTGCAAGAGGTGATGTTAAACATAATTAACAAGATAGAAAATATGAAAAGAATGATAAGAAACAGCCTTGCTTAATTAGAAACGAGGTATCTCTTCCAATCTTAAAAAAAAAAGGCAAAGAAAACCAAAGAGAAAATGAAAGATGTTTAGGAGTTTTCCCAAAAAACTCTTTATACTAAGGGTTTTGGGCCAGGTCAGCCCAGGACAAACTGGATACTGACCCGGTTCAGTTGGGTCATGTGCCTGAGTGCGAGATGGTCACGTCCCTGGCCAAGTCGCACACCCAAGTCGGTCTCATTTGCGAACACATGTGCTAGATGGTTCCATTTCATGTCCAACTCGCACATCCAAGTCGCACAGCTCTGTGGACTTAGCCAAATTTGATTCTGGAAGTCTATATCCTACTCCGAGTCTCCTTACACGCGTCTCTAAAGTCGCAGCTTGCTTCCAGAGTATGAACATTCATGGGTGCAAGTTAACCAAGTCGCACACCCAAGTCGCAGTATTTTTCATTTTCTTGGACCACTTCACGTTTGAGGCAGCATAACTTCTGAAATACTGGTCCAAATGACCTGATTCAAACTCCAGAGGGAAGGTAGCTCAATTATCTAGAACATTGATGAAGAGTTCGAGTGCATCTGGGGATAGGAAGAGTTCCCGGACGGCTGATCTTTAAAGTGCATTGCAGTGGTCCGAATTAGCTTCTAGACCTGTGCTTCTTCCGATTGTAATATCTCCCAGATCACAACTCTAAATCTCCTGATTCTAAGCGGTCTGGAAATTAGATCCACTTCTCTCAAACTTTCATGAAGACCCCAGAAGCTAAATCATCCGGGAAGGCTTTCTGGTAACAGGGTCTTTGAGGCGTATCAGATTTCTCTGGAATGAATGCGAGATAAGTTCGTCTTCGGGTGGCCATATCTTTCAGCTCGTTGCTCTAAATGCATTGATTCTACCTGTTCTAGAACCTTGATTCAATTATCCTGATCTTTTCTGAAGACGCCAGAAGCTAAATCGGCCGGGAAGACCTTCCGGTAATGCAATCTTTGAAATGTATCTGCACCGGAGATTTTTGGCCGAGACTTAAACGGGTGGTACGCGTTTTAGCCGAGAGATCCTGCCCGTGGTATGGATTTTAGCCGAGAAACATTGAACTGCGGTACAGTGATTTGCCGAGAAACTCCAAATTGCCTTTTCTCACCGTTTTTGATCATTTAAGCACCATTTCTTCATCTGGTTCACTTTCTCCACTCCAAATAAGCTCCAAAAGCACATGTTTAACATTCCAAACCATGCCAAGACTCACTTGGACCTAATGCAAACTCGTAAGTCCTAAATTAATGCTTAAAGACCTAAAATGCATGAAACAAGACATGATTTGGACTTAAATGTGTACACTAAAATGATGCATTCTATGGATATATCAAGGATCTATGGAGATTGATGGGTCATGGAGTATATGACAAAGGTAGATCCAAAGCCTCACTTCTATCTCACCCTGCAGTTCGATATGTGCATAATTTGTTAGCACACACTATGTTTTCCAGAGCCAACCAGGCGAATTTCTCAAACCCGAGCTGGTGACACTTCAGATACCTTTCATATATCATCCAAGGTTTCCTTGCTTTGCATGCATCATTGGCAAGAACCTAGTGAAGGTTAAGCATGAGATGATTACTTCAGAGTGCCAAGACTTCTCACCAGCCTTTGGGAGCATCATTACATCGCTTATGATTGCAGCAGGAATGGACTTTTCAGCTGAGACCCCTCTTAGGGAATATTGGTTCAATTTATCCCAGTTTTCTAGAGACATGACTATTTCCAGAGCCAAGATGGATCCCGCCGGATTTGCTTACAATTTTTGTACCAGTACATCTGCGTACAAAGTTCTCTTACCATCAGATTCAGTGCCCCGAATCCGAGATGGAGCAAACCCAGGATGGAGACCGGAGACTCACGAATTCTTGCCATCTATTCCACTCCTCCCTTTAACTATGAAGCAATTTCTGGCTACAAAAGCCAAGAGAGAGATAGCTGCAAATAGGAGGAGACTTCAGCCTGCACCATCATCATCCCGAGCCAGTTCCTCTCACACTAGAGCATCCACTAGGAGCGATGCAGACTTTGCAGCCTTGAAGAAGAAGCTTGACCAGCAGGAGAGGATCAACAAGCGCATGAAGAAGCTCCTGAAGAAGAACCACAGGTTTGATGATGATTCCTCTACCATAAATTCATACAGCAGTCGCGAGACATAGGCTTTTATCCATCACATCACCAGACCCACGGTTCTAACATCATTTTTTTTTAGACTCTTTTGTTTTTATTTTCCATCTTCTCACCAACCTTTACATAATGGGGACATTGTGATTTAAGTCTGGGGAGGATGTCTATCTGTACTGATTTATTTTCTTTGTTTCTTATCTTTTTCTGTAATTTTAAAAAATTTATTAATAGACCTTTAGTGTTTTTCAGGAATGTTTGACTCAAAAACTATGATGAGTAAGACCCATGTTCTTCTAGACTCTACATGATAGTTTCTTTCCATGGTTAGTACTAGACTAGGCGGTAGGTAGAGTACTTACACTACGAACTCCCACCAGAGAACTTCTATTCATGGAGATTCTTTCTGACAGGATATACTAGCTCATTTTACTTGGACATAATCTTGACAATTAATTTTCTCATCACTGGTTTTAGGAAGGCATCATGATATACATCTAGGACATCTCTATCCTATTTCACCACTCTTTGTTGTCCTAGATGACCAGTTCATCGTTAGCTGGTACCACACCCTTTACCCAGACCATTATGTTTGAACCTCATGCATTCTCTTTTAAGTTTTTATCGGCAAATATGTACAAAAACGCCAGAGACGGAGGATCAACATAGTTTTCAGTCACTCAATAGAAAGACAGAAAGAAATTGGGAAAGAGGAGTATCAGGAATCCTATCAAGCTTAATGATGCCACAAAAAGCTCAATCATAAAGGTAAATTTCGTGCTCCCTAAGACTCTACATCTAAAGACGGTTTCCCCTTAAAAAAAACGAAAAAGAGAAAAAAGGAATGAAAGGAAATGAAACCAAAAGCCTAAAGAGTCTTAGAAGCCGAAATTATTTGGAGCAAAGGCTATAAATATTCATCTATGGAGTTATGGTTTCACAACCTGGACAAAAATCTAAGTATGGGGAGTCATGAGGAGAACCTGAAGAAATGAGATCAGAAATCTTAAGGCAAGAAGAATGTGACTGGAAACTATGGACATTCAACAGCTTCATCCTCTCTTGCTGGTTTGCATAATAGTTTGTCTATCCAGAAAAGGTAACCCTAAACCACCATGAACTTCACCCCTAAAAAGCCATTTCGAATACCTAGCCTTGATTGCTTTGCTAAATTCCTTTTGATGAGAACCACTGGAACTTTTAAATGAATGTTAAGAGCTAGTTGACTGTAAGATAGGTCTAAGTGTGTAGACTTTT